CAAAGGATCATTAAGATAGTTCTACCACTGATTTCATTTAGTTCACTGAAAAAGTGTTTGTGCTTCTATTGTTTGATCAATTATGCATGCCTATATCTGGAAATCTGAGCAACTACTCTGAAGACAATAATATGCAATATATTAACCATGGTTAATATTATATTATCTTGTTTTGAAACTCTGTATGATTGCTCTTTTCTCTTTAAGAAAATAAAAATTTTAATCCAATGCTATCGTTTTAACAGACCATTTTTTAAAGGGATAGAAAGGCTTTTGAATGTGGTCTCAGGTAGTCTAGGAGTAGCAAAAGGCAGGTCAGTGGATTAATTCCAAATTTAGAGAAGGTAAAAAAACATAACCAAAGACAGAGACAATTATCTGCCGAAGTCCAGAGTCGCTTGCGGAGGACATGGGACCTGGATTTGGTAGCTGGGGTGGCAACACGATACAGAGGGAGTGAGTGTGGGTCAAGTTACTCAAGCTCTATAATCTCATTACAGTTCTCTGGGAATGAAATACATAGTACTTTCCACATGTGAAAAGACTGTTGAAAATAAAATCAAGCAATTCTATGAAATTACTCTAAATATCACAAAATAGCAGACAAGCATAAATTACTATTCTGACTGATGCTGAGAGTTCTTTCCTTTAGATCTTCTCTTTCTAAAAAAAGTCTGAATTGCAACCTTATATGGTGCTACCTGAATGATCACTAAAGAGATAATTCACCAAAATACAGTCATTATTTTATTTCAGAGTATATGTGTCTTAATAAAAATGCTCTATTCATGCAATTAGCATTACAGAGGCAGGGTTAACTTCATTAAACTCATATATTCTGCAGGATATTTTCAAATGTTATAAAAATACTTTAAAAATGTTAAATGACAAAATAGTTACCTTGTAAGGGATATGAGTCATGCAGTAGTGTTGTAAGGTCAGTAGTATTTTAGATTCAAATCCACTCTTCTTGAGACAAAATCTGGCTATGTTGCTTCATGTTAAGGAGGTATCTGAGCTCTGAGGGATGTTATTTGTGAGCAGAATACTCAAATGAGTAAACTTCTAGATTAGACAGCTGGGAACAGGTTGTTTAAAGCCTTAGAAGTTCAATCATAATACTGGCTTAGGGTACCAAAATTTCCATGTGGCATGGACAGCTGTTTATTCCCAAAAATCCACGTTCTCCCCCTATAACACGAGCTGTCACTAGAAGATAATTCACCAGGGATAGCAATTTTTCCAGATGCATCCAGGTAGGGCCACCAGGCTAATTTCTTGTCATAGACCAGGTGTGGAAATTTTGTGGGTCACTGTTTGGGGCCAAGGATTTTTTTAAAGAAGTGTCCAACTCAATGTCTCTGTGCTTATTGGCTGGACCTAGATAGCTTGAGGCAGGGCTCAGAAGGACGCTGCCCAGGTTACTGCAAAGAAAAGAACTGCACTGCACACTGAACTCCTATTCCTGTACCGGAGCATTATGTGAGTGAAAATGAACTACAGCTGTGTCAAGGCACACTCAGATTGGGGTTCAGTTACCGCAGCAGTCACCTCTTACAGAGGAAGACTTGTGACGCACTCTGTACTTACCACACATTTAAAAGGAAGTCTGCTCATAAAAAGAAACTGTTACCTTTATCACAATTGATTCCATAGAATCCAGGTGGGCAAATGCAGAAGCCAGGAGTGACACAAAGTCCACCATTCATACATCGTGGCACGCACAGGGCTGAGAGGGGAGAGAACCCCGATTAAGACCAAGCGGAATGTTGGACCAGGGCCATTTTGAAACATCAATAATCCGTCAATTTCATATTTTGTAGCTGACTTTAAAACGCTCACTCCTCCCAAGTCTGCTATATTAAAAAATTGTTTTTGTGGTATGAATCAGACAATTTTTCAACTTTTCAGCTAATGAGAAAAGGATTTTGAATTTGTTCCACTTTGAACACCTGACTGAAATTTTCCCAGAATCATCTTGACTAAGATGTGGTCTTTCTGAAACTTTAAGTATTTTTGCTCTGCCCTATTTCCTCAGTCTTCCGCTTCCAAGGGAAACGCAAAGAAGAAAAACAAGAAATATTCTTATTTCACACACACGAAAAATAGTTTGGCTACTCTGGTCAAATAAAGTTTCGGTATTTCTGCATCTTATAATTAATAGCACTCATTTTCTTTCTTATCTCTTTTTTCATCATTTTATGTCAGAGTATATATTTATTGATAAAAATGTTCTATTCATGCAATTAGCATTATAAAGGCAGGGTTAACTTCACTGAACACATAACTTCTGCAGGATATTTTTAAACGTTTTAAAAACATTTAAAAAATGTTAAATGACAAAACAGAGAGTTACTTTATAAGGGATATGAGTCATTCAGTAGTGTTGTAGGGTCAGTAGTATTTTAGATTTAAATCCACTCTTCTTGAGATAAAATCTGGCCACGTTGCTTCATGTTAAGGAGCATATGATTTTCTTTAGAGCAATGTCATAGCATTTTCTTTATAGCAATTTCCCCTAAAATAGATGTACTTACTACCTATGTCTTTCATCTTTTCACTCTGCTAATAACTTCAAAATTCAAATGTGGACTTACTTGTGAATCAAGCTACTATGAGCTGAAATAATTTCAAGTCAGTGGTGCCTATCTTTAAAAAATCATCTTCAGTGGCGAAAGAAATGTGAAAACTTCCACGAGGTTAGGCCAAAATATCATGTACATAATAGTGTGTGTGTGTGTATGTGTGTGTGTGGTGACCACAAAGCATGCTGACACTATGCCAAAGCTCCCTGCTCTTGTCACCACATACTGGATTTAAGAGAAAACCACTCCTAGAGAAAAAAATTCCCAATAGCTCTTCTGTGGCTTTTTAAAGTTTTACCAACCTTCATAATGTGACCAGAAAAATAATTTCGGGGAATGTGTTAAAGACCCACAAGGGCCTCCTGGGTGACATCACATTTATTAGGAAGCAAGCAGTGGGCATGACGTGAGAGACTTTACCTTTCTCACAGTGAGGCCCGTAGAATCCATCTGGACACTCACAGACTCTTCTTTCATTGCAGAAGCCTCCGTTTCGGCAGCCTCCCGGACACTCCGCTGCACCAAAGTAAAACAAAGCTTATCTGCAGATCCTGAGGGTCATACTAGGAGAATTACAGCCAGTGGGAGATGTCAGTGGTCATTTTTATTCCAGTGAACGAATTATTTTACTTGATTGTGTAGCCATGTACTCCTACCTCAGTCTCTTGACACTGTTTACATCTCGATAACCTTCAAGTAAGACTTTTGTCTCTTGCAGTCTCACTTCCAACAGGAAGGGTTTAGATACAGCAAATTTTACTTTGCCCTCGTCCCCACCTGTCGATCTACTGTACTGTCTTAAAGCCACGCTGTAGAATGAGTGGCACTGTCCTCAACCTTGGCCTTTAGAGAGCCGGGGGATGTCTGGCCTCCTGCGAGCCCTGACAGGTGCCACAGCTTCGGCTCCACGTGGGAAAAGCTTCATGGGGGTGGGAAAACAGCCGGGCCTTCGTGCTTAGGGCGCGGCAGTGAGGTACTGAGCCGGGCTTTGACTTGGCAGGGATCGCTATTGTGACAGTGGCATCCTGTCGTCTGTGGGTGTGAGTGGCACCAGGCTTTTGACAGGGTACAGTGGTGCTGCCTTTGACAAGTGCAGGGAAGCAACTAGAACAAAAAAGGAGGGAAATTCATGGCCGCAGTGAGATACCTCAGAGGAGTCAGGACACCGTGTAAGGAAGAGCGAAGAACGGAGCGTGTTTTGAAGGGCTATTAGAGTTCCTAAAATTGTACAGCGTCACAGCCGCAGAAAGTCAGTCTTAGTGTCCTAACTGTCCCTAGCTTTGCTGTTCCCTGCTCCTACTAGGATGACTATCAAAATCTATCACAGCCAGGTCGTGCCTAGAAGCCTTACCGACCTCTTGAGTCACTATCAACACTTACCTTGCTGACACGTCTTGAAGAAGATGGCATTCTGAGGGGTCTGCAGGATGGCGTTGCCTTCAGAATTCATTACAATAACGTTCACTTCAAACGCTGCCACCCCGTCTTGCTTCCCAAGACACGGGAAGCCAACTTGAACCACTAAAAGAGAAAGGGAGTAAGGGGGACTGCAAGGCTCCTTTTGCTAAAAAGCACCGACTCTTCACTCGCGCCCGCAGACGCTCGGCAGGCAGCTAAACCCAGGATAAAAGCTTGGTGTCTCTTCCTTCATTTTGTATTTGTCTGCTTCGCTCAGACCTCTGCTCATTCTGCGTGCAGACCTGTTCATCATTTAGGAAGGGTCTGTCTAAAAACTTGTAATATAAGCTTGATTAGTCCTAAACTTACCTACTCACTCTCTCCTCTTCCTTCAAGACTACAGATGCCAAAAGTAACTAAGATGCTGGTGAGTTCCAAGGAGTCTGAGTCTCGCAGGCAGCCCTGTCTAAGCAGGAGAGATTATCCCGGGACTACTGCGTGAGGCTGCCCGCGAAGCAAGGTAAAGCATTTCACGCTGGGAACTGAGCTGCCCTGCCTCCTCAAGCGACGGCCACCTCCCCTGCAGTATCAGATCTGATATGACACTGAAGTGCACCACAGCTTGACCAAGATTGCCTGACTGCACCACACGCACGCTTTCCTTCCTTCCCTGTGTAACGCTGGGGCTCACACCAGTACCCTTAGGAAGACAGGGCTTGAGAAGCTAGTCCCCCTCTTCCCAGTGTGGCTGCACGGGACCCACAAATTCCTCTCCTGCTTCGTCCCCGCTCATGTCCCTCGGACCTGGACTTGTGGGGCAGCAGATAGCAGAGCCTGGTCTGTTGGGGCCTCTCCTCCCCCAGTGAGGCCTCCGGATTAGGACTCCGGGAACCACAGGAAGTAGGGGGAAAGAGTTTATCCAGTTGGTTATGATGTTACAGAAATCTTGGGAAGAGAAACAAAGAACAAAGCAAAAATGCCCCCACATGGGCGACTTTCTGCATCTCCACTGCAGTCGTCACTGCACTGTGATCTTCTGGGTATTCTGCACAGACTTGTGTGCCACGCTGGACACAGAAGCATGGACAATCTTTACTAACCTGCCTTCCACTAACAATGTTTTCTGATAGTCTGGTTTGTATTACCTTGTAATCAACAAAAGAGCTCTACAAGTTAAGGTTGCAAAACCAACCGCAAATTTATTAGGGAGGGGAAGGAATTCTGTGGGTAACTTCACTATCCCAAAAGAGCAAGAAATCAATATTTCTTAATCCATTAAAGAAGCCCTCTGAGAAATACTCCACTTTATTCGAAAGTAACAAACTACTGTCTTTGAAAAAATCTTACAACTCAAACTAGAGTCCAACTGTTGGACTGAGTCAATACAGTTAATATTTCCTCAGGCTATCGTTTAACATCGGTGTTGGTGTGATGCAATGATCTACAGATAGGCTTATACGTAATGGTGGGGGTTCCTGTAAGGAGTTACTTCCTTCTCGAGTCTGTTCATCACTTGGCAGGTACAGACGCTGAGCTTCAAAGCAGGGAGCAGGAGCTAACAGCACTGCTGTACAAACAGGATAAAGGAACAGCTGCGCAATGCCCACCAGTCGCTGAGTGGAATGGGGCGAATCAGATGTCACTGTTGCTGAGAGACTGATTATGCAAATTTCCAAGTTCTGCTAGATTACTGCAACATCCACAGGGGAAGATTGATCTAGCTAATCCATGAGACTCCAATTCTGCCTTATACATACTAAGAAACATTGCCAGTGGAGACACATATGAAAGTTTGCTTCATTTTGTTTCTGCGTGACAGGTATAGTCACTGCCAAGACAAATCCTTTCTCTGTGTTCACAGATCTAACCTTTCTGCTAGCTTTGTAAGAGACACAGGCTGGAAATGGGTCTGTTCTTTCTCCGCCAGTACCCCAGCTTGCCGTGCGATCTTCTTAACATGCTTGACAACCCATAATCTCTCTGGAGTCTTTGGGACTGTCAGCGCCCGTTACTGTCCCACTCCCTACATGACATGTATTTCTTGTGTCCTGAATCTTGAGATCTGAACACTGCAAATAATTGATTGCATGATGAAAAAACACACAAATTTTAAAGTTAAGTAGAAAGAGAGAGAAAACCAAAATTTTCTCTAAATTTCCAAATAGTCTCCATTGAAACCTTGGTTTAATGAAAACATAGAGTCTAAAGATACCAATATATAAAACAAAATAAAACCCAATTATAGAGATTTCTATTTCAGAAAGAAATCGATGAGCTAATGAATAGCTCTTAAAAGTGTTGTTATTTCAGTGTATTTATTTTTCATTCGGTTAAGAGGTTTCACCCTTCTATGAATCTTCTCTGTCAGCCAGTAACTGTTCCGAGGCGTAAGAAGTCATAAAAACATAGAAGAATCTGAAAGGATGTGAGGAGAACCTGTAGAATCTTGCTCAAAGCATGCCATCACTCAGTCTTTATTTTCTTTCACTTTTTTTTTGGAGAACCTTATTCAGCCTTTATATTGAAGCTCACTTGATTCTTAAAAAAAAAAAACAAAAAACCAAAAACTTGAGTTTTATTTCAGCTTCCAGAACCTTGGTATGGAAGACAGAATGTCTGTAAATAAACATCTCATTTCTGTTTGTTGGCATCCTCAAATTTCAAAATACATCTTTGATGTTAAATATCGAAAAAATTTTTAAATGTCTTATTAGGTATATGGTAAATTTATTCAGCAATAACTAGTATTTCCTTATAGCTGGAGATATGCTACAAGCCCATGATTTACCGAACTAGTTAAATTGTACCCGTATGTTCACATATTCCCACTGTGTGTACACAGGGTGTCAGGAGGTGTGGAGCGCTCATGTAAAGGTGTGTGGTTTGTTAACATGGCTTCTAAATCAATGAAAGGAAGGAACACTCTCAGTACCCTGCCCTCTGGTGATGCGAAGAAAAGAATCCCAAACAAACAAACAAACAAAACTCTGCACAGAGCCAGGGAAGAAAAGTAACAGTACAGAATCCAACAGAAAGTTCAATGAAGAAGACACATCTTAAGTGACTTTCAAGCCAGGCACGGTGGCTCACACCTGTCATCCAAGCACCCTGGAAGGCTAAGGCAGGAGGATCACAAGTGCGAGCCCAGCCTGGGCAGTCTGTCAAAGGAACAAGATCCAGTCTCAAAAACTGAAATAAATAAAAGGGGTTGCAGACATAGCTCAGAGGGAAGACCCTTCATTTTAATCCTCAGTAGAGAGAAAAAGTGACTTTTGTTATGCTTTTCAAGGCTAATCTTTCCTTTTAAATGACTACAGACTTTTGAGTCAAAATGAAGAATTTATCCATTCAAGGAATACTTACTAAGTATGTGTCAGTCACTGGTCTAAGCATTAAAGATATGCATCAAAAAAGCCAGATATTTTAAAATCCCTATCTTTGAGGAACTTAGGTTTAGAGATTTATTCTGAAGATATTTTGTGATAAAAAATCTCATTGAAAACTTTAAAAATAAGACAGAAATTGACACATGTTTAAAGCCACCGACTTAAACTAGAATTGAAAGTAGTTACAGTATTTGTTTTGGTCTCTAACTACTGGATCCACTGGTTATTCTACCTCTCTGTCTCTAATTTGCCTAATTTTAAAGTTTACCATGTGTACATAAATGTCACCTGGGAATACTGTCTGTTACTTAACACAAGGATCAAGTGGAGAATAGTACCTGCTATGACCCACTGATTTTTCATGCTTTAAACTCATCAGGCTCTTGGTCAGAGGACAAACAATGACGCTATCAAATAATTTTCAGAATATTTGTGTAAAGAATTTTTTTACTTGAAAGTTGAAAAATGTGTAATGTTGTTAAGTCTTCAAAAATATTTTACATTTAATTCCAGGCATAATCTAAGTATTTAGGAGGCTGAGACAGGAAGATTGCAGGCCAGCCTGAGCTACACAGTGAGTTCAAGGGAGCCTGAACTGCACAGTGAGACTGTTTCAAGGAAAGAAAGAAAGAAAGAAAGAAAGAAAGAAAGAAAGAAAGAAAGAAAGAAAGAAAGAAAAAGAAAAAATGACATTCTCCATTTGAAAAACCTTATTGAAGCATTTACATACACATTATAGCTACTCCAAATTGTATCAACTGCAAAAGAGTAAAACAGTCTTTTACATTTTCGAATAGGAAAGTTGCAAGCAATTCTGGCAGATAACTGAAGATGTAGTACCTTCATCTTCTTAATAAAACAAAGAAATGATATGACTAAGAATTACTTTAATAGTCTAAAATTCCATCCACTTACTGTTAATCTATTTTCCTTCTCTCGTCACCTTGTTTGTTTGTTTTTATGCTACTGGGGATTGAACCCAGGGCCTTCACACTAAGCTACATCCTCAACTCTTTATTTTTAATTTTGAGGCAGATTCTCACTAAGTCGCTAAGTTGCGCAGGCTGGGCTCACACTTGCCATTCTCTTGTCTTGGCCTGCCAGAGTGCCGGGATCATGTGTGTGTACCACCACTCTCATTTCTTTTTCTTTTTTCATTTGTTAAAGCTCCAGTGCATTCCAGACTTAAAATTTTGCTTTTCTTGAGCTAGACATGGTGGTGCACATGTACAATCTCAGCATTCTGGTAAGCTGAGGCAGGACAGCATGTCTAATCCTACCCTGGCAACTGGGAAACTTAGCAAAATCCTGTCTCAAAATAAAAAATGAAAGGACTGAGGACTCAGTAGCTCAGTGTAAAGGCCCTGGGTCCAGTCCTTACTCACACACACACACACACACAAATCCAAAAACTTTGCTTATTTATATGAAATAATCACAAACCAGCACGTGAAAATTGAAGACATTAAAAATCATGTCCATCCATGGGGAAAAGTTTTACCTACACATATTTATCTCTTTTGTAATACGAGCATGTAAGCACAGTTATGATCTCAACAGTAATACACAATAATTTGAAAAGGACAAGGCAATAAAGTTCAGAAATTAGGATGCACCTGGCTTATGAACTTCAGTGCAGAAAACAGCGAACTGTAAAGATTATAGTAATTAAAATTGCCCATTTTTCACTTTTAAAACATGAAACAGAAATTCTTCACTCCTCTGCAAGCTCTGCTTGTCTTCCCTTTTGCGTACATAAATCTTCTTCATAAGATTAGGTAATAAGAATATAAGTATTGCCGGGTGTGGTGGCGCACGCCTGTAATCCCAGCACTTGGGAGGCTGAGGCAGGAGGATCGTTGTGAGTTTGAGGCCAGCCTGGGCTACAAAGTGAGCTCAAAGCCTGCCTGAACTGCATAGCGAGACCCTGTCTCAAAGAAAAAAAAAAAATTTAAAAATTTAATACATAAGTATCTTTGAAAAGATTTCAAATAATTTTGCTTTAAAGCAAAACAAAATCTGCCTTTCTTTAGTCTCCTCTGCATTTACTGCCTTTCATGAACACCGCGCCGGCCTCGGCTGTGTTTCTGTGTCCCAGCTGTGCCTTGACTGGAATTCACTGTCTCCTCTTTTCTGTCCAGTGCCCTCTCACTCCCCTTCAAGGGCAAAGTTACACAGCACTCACTCTCCCGGACTCCTTCTGCCTAAGTTATTTCACTTGGCTATTCTACAACCCCCTCCACGTATGATTCCACAGCAGTACACCGATTTCATCATGGTCTACCTCTTTGCTAAGGACGAGACTGTAGGGGCAAAGCGACCATATCTTATCTTTGTTTTTCAAATAATCTCAGCACCTACCACGTTATTTGCCAGAAACTAGGCGCTGAGGGACGTGATATATGTCATAGAGACACACGGATACACTTTGTATTCTCAGACACACCCTTGTTCAAACGCACATGCGCACGTACATAGAAACTAAAATTCACAATGAACAACGGCAGCTGCAGAGAACAAATATTAACAGTAGGTATCCGGAAAGATACACACATAAGGAAAAAGGACACCAGAGGCAGAAAGAGCACAGATAACTCACCTCTAAGGAACAACAGAAACGCAAATCCACGCTGTGCTGTAGAACAACAAGCACATGCGTAGAGGGCCATTCTTACTAAAGCTAAATGGAGTTAGGGCAGTGGCAAATTCCGATGAAGGCTAAGTTGGATACTCTGAACTCAATTAAAACAACTTAGGAAAACTACAGCAGACAAAACAACTCCCGCGGCACTCGATCACACACGCATGTGCAGCTGCCTGCACACAAATTCTCACGTAGAAGTAAAGGCGAACTTGCTCTCTTCTACTCCAAGACGGGCACACTGGTCGCACCACCCCAGCCTGCAGTTATTTGAGCAGCTGCCCTTACTACAAAGGCAGAGATTAGAAGGGAAGGAAAGCGCTCAGCCTCAACACACAGGATTACACACTCCTCGATGGTCGGAAACTGTCCAAGGCAAATGTCCGTCAGTGCTTCAGGCTCCCCTGACAGCCGCTCGTTCTCTCAGCAAACGCTGATTATACACTCAGGGTTTCATGTTCTGCTAGGAAGTGGGGCCACCGACGTTATCACCTATTTGGAAATTTCTAGATAGAAACACCATTGCGCTGTGTGTTCCATGATCTGACACAGACAGCGTCCAAAGAGGCCAAGCCTTGGCTTTAGGGAAACTGTTTTTTGTTATACAACTCCGTAATTGTACTGAACCACCCCGCAGTTTGTATTTCCTGTTTTTGTTCTTTTCCGATGCCAGAAGGCAGGCACTTCGTAATTGTTAAAGATCAAGAGCTTTCTTTTTTCATTCAGCGTTCAGGCATATAGGAGCCTGTGGGATAAAAGAACAGCTTAGCAGCTTGCGGGTATAAAATAGCCCAGAAGAATAATGAATGCTACCTGGATGCTTAAAAGCAAAGACACACTGATCTGGTTACTTTTTAATAATTCGAGGTAACTTCACTTCTCCTACCGTTGTGGCCGAGCTAATGAGGCTAATGAACAACTGCCTCGCCATGCCCTGAACTTCCTATAAACCTCTTGCACCTGCATCTTTGCAAACAAATTCACCATCTGTTTCCAGAACAGTACATGCATACGCGCATGCGTGTAGGCATTTCGCCAGATCATAGGAATAAAACTTGTTCTTTTATACCTCATCTTGCCCCCAGTGCCATCCACTTTCCCCTCTAAATTATATTACTTTAAAAAACCTTACATTATTAAAACTTGATGTTTTCTATAAAGATGATCTATTATGATATCCTCACACCATGTTTAATACTTTGTGTTACTATCCTAAGAGGCAGAACTTCGATAAGATCTTCTTTCACTAGGCACAAAAGTTGGACAAAGCTGGGAAGCTGGAGGATCTAAGTATTAAATTAATACTTCAAAGATGCCAGACTTATTGCCAGCCCAACAGTTGTAAATGTGTAATTAACTTAGTGCATTTTAATGAGATGCAGTGAAGTTCTATTTCTTTAATAATCAAAAAAAGAAAAATTAAAAAATATAAATTGAAAATCGAGAGATATGTATCTGTTTTTTTCTGGATACTTTTAAAACAAGAGCAAAAAATATGAATAAAAATGTATATAAAATTCTTTGACTACCAGGGAAAAGCATGCAACACAGCAGGAGAAGGACTACTGGCCGTTATCCCAAGAACCTGGGGGATGGAGTCATGTCTCCGGGATATGTAAAGTCCAGACACGTCATCTGTGTGATACCAGGATATTCATGTATCGGGATAAGTTGCTCATGTCCTTGGGGCTACGAATGTCAAGCAAATAAATGTTTAAAACTCAGACCTTCATTCCTTGAAGCCAGAACCTTTTCCCCTCTAGACAGGTAGCAAATACCCCGAGAGGGCTGCTGGTCACTATGGCCCTGTGATGGCTGAGGAGAACTGTTTATACTCCTCCTGTCCACTCATGTGATGGCACTAGTGATAGGGAACTACTCATTTAGTCTTGCAAGTCTGGAATACAGCAATGTAGATTCATTTCAAGTGTCAGGTCACTGGAACCTGAAAACATTTCATAGATTTAAATTAGCTCCTAAAGGGATTTTCATTTGACATCTGACAAAGTTATTCCAATGTTCCTCTAGAAAAGTAAGATTAAAAATTTTTAAAACAGATGGTTTTGCTATCAATCATTTTAAAACATTAAAGTCTACAACTATTATAATACTAAAGCAAACAGTAAGCTGTGAGCAACTACACGTAGAAGAACTTACTGTGAAATAAGGGGCATACCACGGATTCACACAGTTTTTACACTGGAAAAGCTGATGACACAGAAAAATAACTTGGGTGAGAGCCCTGCTTTATACTATTGCCAAAATAAATTTTTATAAAATACTAAAAGCATATGTAAGTTACCACTTCACTGTTCTCTGGAATAGGAACTAATTTCTAAACATAAAAGGAAGGAGGGAAAAACTGCAAAGCAAAAGACAGGCTTGACAACACAGAATTTTATCTCACTTTCAAAACATAAGCTAAAATACAAATGATTTTTTTTTAAATGCAGTACTCTACATATAGCAAACTTTGCAGGGCAATGAGAACACTATTATCCCAATGTAAAAGTAAGCATGGTAAACAGATATTTTATATTGTCTAATAGATTCAAGAAGTTTCTAAAAATTAATAAGAATTTTAAAAATCAAATTAAAAGAACACTGTGAAAAATCACTTTTCACTTTTTAAATCAGCAAAGTAGTTGCACAATGAACAACCCATTTACATGAGGTTACACGAAGCCAGGCACCCTCTCACACTGCAAGCCAGCTCACACGGGAGGATAAACTTTATAGAAAGTAATAATGGTACTCTGGCAATGTGTGTAAGAGACTTGTAAAAAGTTAATCATTCATAACCTTTTATGCAATAGGTCCACCTCCCAATTTTTTAAAAAACTAAAGTTATAAGCACCAGGATTTGATACACACATTAATTAACAATTAATTATTCTGAGTGGCTTCTCTTTGACAGGTAAGGTCACTGCCCTTGTGGAATCGGGCATCTGTCAGTCTTAACAGGACGCTATCTGTGATAATAGTAGCATGCAAACCCTAAAAACAATCTCACAAACAAACAATAAGTGAGTATGTAACAAATTAGGACACAGCCATAAAATATAATACTATAATAGGCATGTTAGTGCTTTATAAAGCCATTTAAAATGATCTTTGGAAAAATCTGTAAATGACACAGACAAATACTTGTGATAAAATGTTAAAATGAAAAAAATTATGCTGCAAAGCCATACATTTAACATTAGTGTAATGATATAAAATATACATTAATTAAAGAAGACTAGGAGGAAGTATGAGTGTGTTCATGCCAAGATCTCTGTATCTTTCAAAAAGTTAGAGACCCTGGACTGTAGTCTCTCTTTCCTTGCTCACTGCCAATATGTGACTTTAGGCGAGTCAGTTAAACCGCGGACGTTTTCATTTTTTAATTTATAAAATGGTGCCGTATTTCTGGTCTCATGGTACTGTCTCAAACTAGGTAATATATGAGTGGGCAAAGAAAGCTGGAAATAAGCGTCACTATTATTTTTTTAGCAGAGAAAGATGATCAGGTCTGAAAATTTGAGTTCTTTTCTCCCACATTTTTATGTCTCTTCTTTCCTTCAAGTTCCTACTAATACTGTGCTAGTTTGGGGTTTTTCCTGACTTATCCCACTTGCTCACACTTACTTTGTTTTTTTTTTTCTCTGTTTGTTTTGTTTTGCTTTGCTTTTTTGCAGTGCTAGTGACTGCACCCAGGGCTTTGCCTACCGATCATTTTCTTTGAATCTCTGCCACATGTATCTGCACTGTATGGATCCACACTTACTGGCTGGATCTATCTCACCAAATATTTTTATGTTTGGTTCTTTCTTTTGTCATCTGAAGTCATTTACGAAGTGGTTTAGGGTGGGGCTATTCCGAGTTTATAGAAAATTATAAAAAAAAATGTCTTCACTTGCATCTTAATCCTTTGCCTGAAGGATAATAACTGAGTTCTCCTAAACTCAACAGACCTCTCTAGACAAACACTCCATAATCACTCTGATGGATGACCTTTGGATCTTAAATATTTTATTCCTCACCATTACATTTTAAGTGTAAACTTCTGTCCAAGGCAAAGACCACCCACCTGATGCCTTGTGAGGCACTGTTCCCAGCAGAGGGACATTGACAGTTGGATCTGCCATAATACCTTTATCCAAGGAGCGCAAGGTCAGGAATTCATAGAAGTATTCTGCCTACAACAAAAGGCATTGACATTAGTGCCGTGGAAACCACTAGGAGCAAGCAGGCACTTTTCAACACATCTTTGGGTGGAAGATGATAATTTTCCCTACAGGAACTCTTCAGCTCCTGACATGTAAGACACCACATAGGCTTAACTCTCCATGTTTTGTAGCCACAGAATTATGTCCTCTCTTGGAGAGAGATTATTCCTTTGTAAAAGTAAAACCATTTACCAAAACATCCACAAATGGTGGTCTTTTAACTTCAACAATATTACTTAGCGGTCTGTTGAAAGGATTGTGAAAAAAATGCTCTTAGGGAAATAAATGATGTCAAAACAATTATTTTTTTTTTAGCTTTATAAAGACAATTTTTGACTACCATTTAGAAAATCCATTTCAGCTTCTTGGATCATTTTTTAATTCTTTTCAAATCTCAAAGGAGCCTTTCCATCAAAATTTGTAGAGCTGTAGTAAATAAGGGGTGATGAAAACAGCAACCTGTTGGCAAAAGAAACTATTAAAGGCTGAAAGTTAATGATCGTGCTGCCAACACTTATTTTTCAGCCTCATTCCCTTTGAAAAGGTTACATTTAGGGTCTCAATTTAATTGTAGAAAGAAAAGACTAAAAATGCAAAGAGCACCACCATAGTAGGACAAACCTTACAACTTTATAATGCAAACATTTTTATTTTCCCATTAAGTAGCTAGTGGAGGAAAAGATTCTTGTGACTCAAATGTTCATGTATGTGGAAAGTAATGACGTACAATTTCACCACAGAGCTTTGGTGCTTAACTGACTCTCAACCCTTTTATTAAGAGTATTTGTTCTAGAAACAATATGTTCTTGCTTAGGAATGAAAGATACAAGGACACAAATGCTAATATGAGGGCTGGGAAAGTTAAGTGGTTCTGTATAGCTATTTGTAATGATAACCAGAATTTAGATAGGTTAAAAAAATTAATTACATAAACATAAGCTAGAAAGAAGCTAAAAAAATAGAACTTTTCCTACATGTAGAACAAACTTTTATTTTCCAACATGGAAGATGGTAGACATTTAAGCAACTTTCTGCTTTATATCACAGCATCAAAAGTATCAGGCATTAGGGTGGAGGATACAGCTCAGTGGCACAGTGCCTGCCTGGCAAGCGCGAGGCTCTGAGTTCGATTCCTGGTACCCTGCCCCCCCAAAAATATTAGACATTAAGGATGTCATAGGAAGACAACAATGTGAAGGTATAATCTCAGGTATTACAGGAATACTGTTTAATTTTTGTGTGAGTTGAAAAATATTTCCTGGTCTCACTAAGGCAAAAAGATCCCCTTTATTGACCAAGTCCTCACTGTACCCTCTTCTGAGCTGTGGCCACAGCTCTAGAAGACCTCTGTGACCGGTTCCCCGGGTGAGTAACAGAGTCTCATGAATGGATTTTTCAGTTTTTAAAAAAATTTTTAATCCCATCCACTACACGGTCTCTGAAAATGAAAGGCCATAGGACAGATGATTCCTACCATATTAAAGAGCAGGCAGAGATCTGGAGCACATACTGTATTTTGTGTATGTGTGTGTGTATCAGGAATTGAACTCCCGACCTCACACTTGCCAGGCAGGCGGTGTGCCACTGAGCTATATCCCTGGCCCGACGGGCAGACATCTGAAAGATACATGATGAAAGGAAAGTTGTCAGGAAAGGTAATTCAATTTGGAATGAATTCCTTTGAAAAAGAGAATGGCATTTCTGTCTCTGCAGGAAAACCAATGGGTGTGCTAGAAGTAGGCTGTTTTTCATGAATCCAGGTGTTTCAAAAGACTTCTACCAGCTGCATTTCCCTCTATACTTTATTAGATATCTATCACTTGATGTTTTGCTCTAAAACACATTTTAGTTGCGACTATGAAAGCACTTGGTGCTGGACACCATTTTAATTAATTACATTCGATTACTTATATTATAAAGTATAATAATAACAAGCAACAATAACAGAACAAACACCAGTTTAGTTCCCACCGTGTGCCAACTCTTATTCTAAACATTTTATCAACAATTCATGTAATAAGGGTGAAGGACCGAGCAGATAGAGCACAAAAACCTTGAATACCATACGTAAATTACCATTTGCTACCCCATGTGTATAGCCTCAGGGCTCAAGTTTAAAAGTCATATTATAAATTAAATCTATCTTTCTATAGATAATATATTTAAAAATTACATTGCAAAAATTAGGATAAATTTAGTAAGAAATCAGATTTTTAGTTTTATACATAATTTTTGTTAAAGAGAAAAGAGTAAAACAGCACAATGATTGCAATGTACAGAATTTCAACTTTTCTGTATGCAATGCTATAACTTTTATAATGAAACTGATACATTTACTCAAAAACAGACATTACAAAGAAAATGTTAACAGCAAAATAAAATGATAATCCCAGTTCCCCCCCTCAAAAAAACCAGATATTAATCATGTGCCCTGCTTTTAGTTCTGTGTGGCTAATGACAATCCTCGACTCTATGTGCATAATTCTGACTGCAGAAGAAATTTTCTCCTTGCACAGCTAATCATGGTCATGCAACAATTTTACTTCAATTTCTTATACGTCTCCTTGAAAGCAAAAAAAAAAAAAACAACAACAACCACTACTAAAGTAGCTTCTGAAGGACTCTTTCAGAAAGTTTAATAATGTTCAAAGACTATGGAACTGAAAGAATTTCATTCAGAGCCCAGAAACGTAACTCTAAGAAGCCTCAGATCTCTGTATGGTTACAGAAAGTAGCCTGGGAAGGCACGCAGTCTGTCAGATTGAATATCAGAAAGTTTATACTCAGCTGGCAAGATTCCTAAACAAGCTGCTCTTGAGTTTAATGGACTTCTCTGGACAGGTGATACTCTGACCTCATCGACAGCACATTTCACACTATAGATTTTAGTTTGTCCCTTTGATTTCTCTAAGAGATACTGCACCTCACTCTCTCTACTGTAATCCTACGACTGTTTTTGAGACTGTTCTAGACAAGGACTGATTAAACCACTTTATTAGCAAAAGGCAGTTCATGGAGCCTGTTTTCTTTATCTTTTTTAATGAAGACGATGGTGGTGCGTGAACCTCTGAAATACGTAATTTTCTTTATGTTTGGCATATTTTCATAAGGAAGGTTTTGTTCTTGTACTATTTTTATTTTTTCTTAAAAATTCTAACTTGAAAGCTGCTTATAAATTGATCAATCTTTTATCTGATCTTGACATTGATTTCTCTCAAAGTTTCCCTTGCCATTGCAAAGAGATCTGCCAAAATGACTAATATGACACAAACATTTCTACAAATATATTGTCATTACCATAACATAGGAAGTAAATGTAGCCCTCATTTAACTTTAGGGCTTAAGTTTAGGAGTCATAAAAAAGGCTGATGAGATGAATGATAGATTCATGCTATCTTCTAACTTCTAGACAGAACTTTCCAGTTTTATTTACAATATAGTAACTACTCCTAGACCTAATTCTGCCCATTAGAAACATTTATTTGGAAGTAAATAAAACCTAAATTCTATGCCAAAGAGAACAGAGAAGTAGCTTTAAAGTTTGGGAACAACTTTCACAAATTGCAGATTTATTACTTAGATAAAAGCAACTCAGAGCACGACCCATAACAAAGATGTTATACTGGAGAGTCTGAGACCTTTACAGGAAAAAGTACATTTTGTTTTATTAAATGACATTAGTGGAAACCAAGGTAAATGCAAGTAGAGTGCTTATTTGGGAAGTGCATGAAAAGACTGCTTTGTATTCAAGCAAAGAATGGGTCCATTCAGGAGAATAATTCACTTCTAAATTAAGTTGCTGAAAAATTTTGTTGGCCCGGATTGCCACGCAGTAAATTTTCTTTTCACTGAGAAGTATAAAAGACACCCAAATATTATCAGGAAAAGAGTGCTGCGGGCCATTCATCTTGCTTCCAATTGACTTGGCTGAAATTAGGGCTGTTCCTTCCAGAATAGATGAAGACATCATCTGAACAGCAAAACGGGCAACGCGTAAGGCTTTTGCCCTGGCATTCTTTGTGGGCAGACATGGAGAAAGAGGCAAAGAACTGCATTAACTGTCAGAAGGAACGGAGCAGTGGAGGGAATCCAGCGTTTCTGTTCAAGCTTTGAAGGTCTGGGTTTATGGTGTATACTTAATCTAAGAAGCACAATAACTGCAGGAAACTCTGACTAAGAATGAGTCCTTCATAAAACTGTGGCTGTCAAACCTCTCTTAAATTCACGCATCGGGACGCTGACCCAAGCTTTCACGGGAGAGCACTGAAAGAGCAAAGGCGTCGCCTTTATTCCAAAGAAAATTTCAGGCATTTGTAGATACGACACATGACAGAAGTTTTGAAAATTTAAATGATCTCTATTTAGTGTTTGTTATACCCCACTCACTGTTCACTTAATTCTCACCACAATCGTTACAACGTACAAGTAGACTCAGACTAACAGGGCGCTGAGCGTGAGAAGTAGCGAAGGGAAATACAAGAGCTCTTACACTGTGTGTGAAGGGCAGGAAGAAATCTTCCACAATACACAAAAAAAGAAACTAGTGCAATGTTACAGCCCCAAACACAATGAACAAACATGCCCACTGCTTGAAATAACCTGACGCCTCAATGTCTAGACCCCAAGTTGACAGCTCTCACGTCCTTCCTCAGCACTCTTGGTACCTCCCGACACAATTTCATCCTCCACACTCAGAGCTCATTCACTTTCAATTGTGTGACGTCCTGCTGATTTTCCTTCTCCTTGTTGGTTTTCTTGCATTTCCTCATTAGCTCTCCTTCCCTCTGCCCAGAATCACAGAAAATCACTCTCATGTCGCCATCAGGGAGGTGCAGCCGGACCTATATTCCAGAGATCTCATTCTGCTGACCTTCATGGGCTCGCAGTCCTCGGTGCTTCTCTCTTTACGTTCTACTGTAAAACTCTGACAGTCTTACACAGCATCCTTTGGGACCATGCTGCTTGCTATG